ATAAAAATTATAAAAAAACTCCTTCAAAATTTAAAAATCATTAAAAAGATCTAAATTTTTAAAAGTTTTAACAAGTACACATCAAATCTGAAAACTATTAATAGACTGCTGAAATTTAAATTTTTCCAAAATTAATTTATAGTTTTAATAATTACAAAAAGCATCCTCAAAATTTTAGAGTTGCAAGAAATATCCTGATATTTAAAAAATACCACCGACACATAAAACGTAGATGTTACAACTACCAAACTTAAAAGAATTTTTTTAAAAACTCTTCCAATATTGTAAAAACTACAAATCACACCCTCAAAGTTCAAAACCATAAAAAAAGGCTGAAATTTTAAAACTTGGCAAACAAAAGTGTAATTGTTGGTATTTTTTTCATTAAGATATGTGTGTGTGTGTGTGTGCGCGTGTGTGTAATTTCCAATTTAGGGTTTACTATCCCTTTTCAGCATCTAAAAATAGTATAAGTTGATACTGGTAAACAAAAACAATAAGAATTGATTAAAAACATCCGGGTAAGGAATAAAAATTTAAAAAATATTATAGCTTAAAATTATCACCACTATATAAATTAAAGTAACTGCATATAATTTTACTAATAGGTTAGAGCATCAAAAATACATTAGTAAATTATTGATAAATATTTAAATCCATAAAAATAATAAAATACTATAATATAATAGCTTAGCATTAACTAATTATAATTTAGAAACATTAATTTTTTATGTTAATAATATTTATAAGATAAAAGAATACAATGAATTATATATAGAAAAACTATCAGAATGTTCAGAGATACCCTTCAAAAGAAATAAGTTATTTTCATTGCAAATGAGAAAGTAACGAAAATAAATTTAAATTTCAAAAAATGTCCATAATTAAATCACTTTAATTTGCATTAACATAAAGAATATCTATTAAAGAAGCAGCGACTGAGTTGCGTTAAAAAATAATTTAACAACTTTATCCCAATCAAAAAAGAATTCTCCATGGAAGATATAAAAAAGTTGCGTTAAAAAATAATTTAACAACTTTATCCCAATCAAAAAAGAATTCTCCATGGAAGATATAAAAAAATTAGTAAGTATTCATAAATTTCATATTTTTTATCCCAATCAAAAAAGAATTCTCCATGGAAGATATAAAAAAATTAGTAAGTATTCATAAATTTCATATTTTTTTCTTCAAATACTAAAGAAATTAAATATTAATATTATAATTTAAGGCAAATTGGTAATGAAAAATACAAGTATTTAGTTTAGATCTTTATGAAAAATGACAGGGATATAGCAAAGGTAATCTTATTGACATAACAGAAACCCTAATTGGATGCACATCAGAAGAATTCATTGTAGAAAAAAAGAGGTAGCTTCTAATCTTATTTAAGTACTAAATTAGGATCACAAAGAATTTCATATATATATATATATATATATATATAATTAACATTTATTCTCATTGAAATAGGAAAAAAATCAAAGTCTATATTTTAAGTAGTTTGTGTTGCACATCGAAAATACATTTGGCTTCTTTGTAAAGTTAAATAAGAAGATAAAAGATTAACGAATCCATGAAAGATAACAGCATAAAAAAATACAATTTTAGATTGATGTCACAATCGATGTAGATGATGAAGATACTACTCTAGAATTGCCCGGGAAAAAGAAAAAGGTGAAGAAGGATTGATCGTAGCTCAATAAAAAATAAAACAAAAGGAATAAAAAAACATTTTTTTCTTAAATATATAATAGAATAGTTTAATTATTTTGAGCGAAATTAGTAATCTTTAGAAGGGAGTTTCATGAACTTTTTTAGTATTTTTATATGCTTATGTGGATGCTTTTATCATATAAAAGAATACTAGAGTTAGCATTAATCTTTAATTTATATTTTTTATGAAGTTTATCAATGATTAGGAACAAACTTCATATTATCTTTTATATCGTTTTAGCATACTTTTAATCAATTATTTTACCTTATTGGTATTAAATATTTACCTAACACTATTTTAATATTTTTACTTTTGCAACACTGTACTTTCTCAAGTAAAGTTTGGTTTCATATCGGTCAAAATAATATAAAAAATCAAATTAGCTTCAAATTATATTTGTTTTCTGTCAATTCAAATATCAACATAAAATTTTAAATTGGGTGTAGCATATTTAAACAAACATAAAAAAATCACAATATAAAAGTTTAGAGACAAAAAGTGAGCACAAACTATTAAAGTGAAAGTAAGGAACAAATTTTAGTTAAAAAATAAGCCAAAAATACTTAATTATGATATTTAATCATGTGCATTGCAATTAGAAATCTAATATTTATATACTATATATATATATATATATATATATATTTATAATATATATATATATATTATATGTACTATAGAGAGCAGTAGAGAGAGAACGGGACGTGACGCTGAGCGTAGAAAATTTCTGCACTGCAAGTGTTATTTCAGTGAGCCCCACACCGAGTTTACTATTAGGCCTTCACATCGCATCCTGCGCGCAGTAATATTCCTCTTCTGCAGCTACTCCTGTTTTATAATATCAGTATAATATTATATATATAATTATCTTAAAACTATATAATATATATATATATATAGAGAGAGAGAGAGAGAGAGATGCGTGTATGTGTGTATATGTAATCATATGCTACAGTTTAGCAATATATTATTAGCCCATAAAATCAGTATTTGTTTATTACTGTGATTTCAGATTTACATTCAATTTTTTTAGTAGTTGATGTCTGAAAGTGATTTAAGAATTGTGAGGGAAGGAGTGTTATTAGGAGAGCATACGTGTCATGAACGTGTAGATGGAGATATACTTTTTTATCGAGGAAATGACCCGGAGAAATTAGAAGATGGATTTATTACAGATAACTTACGAATTTAAAGAATAAAGATCAAGTTCATGGCGTTATAGACAAACTTATACTGTTGATATTTCTTATTGTCATTGTTGGGATCGTATTTTGTATGTAAGTGTACCATAAAAATATTGACGACTAAAATGCATAGCTTTTCCTTCTTCTTCTTCTTCTTCTTTTTTTTTTGTTTTTTAATATTTTATTTTTATTTTTTATCTTCTTTTTCTTGATT